CACAAGGGTCAAAGTGTCAGATCTTGGATTTTTTGCCAAAATCGAATTTTTTAGCCGGGTGAACGTTGATTACAACTATTTAAGCGCCGGGCTAGTCAGAACTCTCAAAAGTATGTGGAAAAAGTTGAAAACTGAAAAAAAAAATTTTTTCACCGGGGGCCACAGGGTCCGGCTAAAAAATTCGATTTTGGTAAAAAATCCAAGATCTGACACTTTGACCCTTGTGACCCTTGGAACGACTTTCCCCCCGGAAAAATCCAAGATCCGACACTTTGGCCTCCGGTGAAAAATTTTTTTTTTCATTTTTCACTTTTTCCACATACTTTTGATAGTTCTGAATAGCCCGTCGCTTAAATAGTTGGAATCAACGTTCACCCGGCTAAAAAATTCGATTTTGGCGAAAGTCGACCTTCCCCGGGAAAAACCGAAAATCTGACCCTTTGAAAATTTGCAAAAAAAAAACTTTTTCAGTTTTCAGTTTTTCCACATCCTTTTGAGAGTTCTGAATAGCCCGTCGCTGAGATAGTTGGAATCAACATTCACCCGGCTAAAATATTCGATTTTAGCGAAAGTCGACTTTCCCCCGGGAAAAACCGAAAATCTAACCCTTTGGCTCCGGGTGAAAAACAATTTTTTTTAGTTTTCACTTTTCCCACATACTTTTGAGAGTTCTGAATAGCCCGTTGCTTAAATAGTTGGAATCAACGTTCACCCGGCTAAAAAATTCGATTTTGGCGAAAGTCGACCTTCCCCGGGAAAAACCGAAAATCTGACCCTTTGAAAATTTGAAAAAAAAAACTTTTTCAGTTTTCACTTTTTCCACATACTTTTGAGAGTTCTGAATAGCCCGTCGCTCAAATAGTTGGAATTAACGCTCACCCGACTAAAAAATTCGATTTTGGCGAAAGTCGACTTTCCCTCTGGAAAAACAGAAAATCTGACTCTTTGGCTCGGGGTGAAAAAAAAAATTTTATTTCGACTTTTGTCGCGCCTTCGGGGGTTTCATTGGCATCAGAATTGTTAGAAAATACAGAATCAACTTTCACTTGGCGAAAAAATTCAATTTTGGCGAAAATCCACTTTCACCCTTAACCCACGTGAAAATGAAAAATTTTTTTTCCCCTTTTCTGTCACCTCCGAGGGTTTCATTGGCATCAGGGGGTCAATAAATACAGAATCAACGTTCACTATTTTTTATCTAAACACCGCCTACAGACGGTGAGATGAGGGTGGCTAAAATATATTCTGCAACCGTCTCCTCGTTGGCTACAAATTTCAACCCTCCGCATACATGCCTTCCCCTTCACCCGCTCGTAAAATCACGCGTTCTCGGTAGCATCGAGGAGGACTTCTCAGGACCGAAAAGAACTGAGGATTCGAAAGGTCTCTGGAAAAGTACCTCGCAGAACTGATTAGGACTTACCAGATCCATCTAGGTCTGGAGAGATCTTGAAAGACCTGTGTACGTCCAATCAGAATCAAATCCTCGACTCGGGAATTCTTTCTCAATTAGGGGAGGGTGTGCCTGTACCGCTCAGCGGCTAATACCGCTCGCCCGATTTTCTCCGCAACCATCAACTTAAACATTTCTTTCTGTTCCTGACCATGAAGAATTTGATGATAGGATGTGATTGTCGGAAAAATTTCACTTTATGTACCTCTTGAAATATGAAAAAACACGTAACGAAGTTTTGAGGTCTTTACAGTGCAAAATATACAAAGACATCATCTCTTTCATAATCAAAAGAGCATTTTTTTGCAATTCATGAAATGTGCAATAATATTACACCACTATAATCAGTAGCGGTGGAATCGGGTATTATCGCACTCAGTCCTGTGAGACCCTGAGTGTCATTTGTGTTTGTGATTGTTTGTTTACTTTATTGCACTTGTGAGTATATGATTTGGGACTGAATTTTTCTTGAATTTTGATTAATGAAATTTCTATTTGTTTTCTTTTCTACGAGTTTTGTGACGAATGAGCTGTGGTCAAATGCTATTGAAATGAATCGTGCCGTTGAGAAATTGTTCCATAATGAGTTGTACCATAAGAAACTGTTCTGTAATAAATTGTTCCGTAATAAGTTGGTGTAACAAATTGTCCCATAATAAATAGAGGTACAATCCCTTATTCCCTATCGCATTGCAGTCCAAAAAAATTATTGCAATGAAAAAAAAACTTACTCAATTGTAAGTCCTCGATTACTTTCCGACCGATTGTAGGTACACTAGGATATAGTCGCAGGGATTCTTTGATGCATCGTTCAAGGTAATTCAGTTTCTGCACATCTCTTATATTCATCTTCTCACTGACTTTCCCCCTCATGACTTCTTGTATTTCTTCCCTGCAACGGTTCTTCAAAAAGACGATGGATCAGTTGTAAAGTGAATCTATGGGCTTGCAGGGGATGTGGAAATTCAATGATTGCAAGAAATGCGTGGATCAGAAGAAGGAAGATTGGATTGAAATTAGACAGTGATTTCCGAAACATTGCACCAAGGACATTGGTGCTGCCTTTACTAATTCTTCTATTTTATAGAAAAAGAATTTCTCTCTATATTATCAAAATCCAAATCGACGTCTGGTGATACAAATTTGGTACTCGAAAATATGACTGACCCTTATTCCCTTAAATTTTGTAGGAAATCCTGTTGAAAATCGAATATGAAATCCTATAGGAAATCGTATAGGTTTTTGTCATACGTGATATGATACAGTGGTAGTGGTGGGGGTAGTTTCTTCGTGCATACAGATACCCGATAGGACTCGGCTCGGGATCTTCTACAGTCGGAGTCAAAAATTTTCCTTGGCCGATACGCTACCGCGTATCTCGATCTTATGATTGACTGATTGATTGATTGATTTGATTTATTAACTGTAAGTTATGTCTTACAAATTGACACCAACAAGTGGAGTCGAGAGAGGATGAAAGTAATAACAGCAACAAGATATTACAAGAAATAGTAAAAATAAGTAAAAGTAAGTAATAAATACCAAGATCTAGTGCACATAGTAAGTGAAAATCATCAAAGTGACAAAAGAAAGCTAAATTGATCAAGGTAGTAAAAGCTATTAAATTTAAATTAAATTAAATTAATTGTAAAATGCGGTGTAAAAAGCAGTAGCTGGCAATATATGCTCAGCAGACAGTGACGAACGGGCTCCCAGTAGAGATGATTCATTGTAAAATGAGCATGAAAATCAGAGAAAAAGGGGAGGTGAGTTAATCGGGAAGAAAGTGGGGAAAATGAATCACGAGGGGAGGAATAAGTGCAATTAGTTGCGTCGAATATGCAGTTCATTATGGAGAAGCAGCTGTCTCAGAGCAGCATTGAAAGAAGCACTTGACGTGAGATCACGCACAGATGAAGGAATAGAATTCCAAAGGTACGTTGCGGAGATGAAAAAGATCAATGATCAATAAAATGAGTTTTGAAAGCATAGACTGTTTTATCACTTGATCATTGGAGGATTTCAGTAATTTAGTATACACACCTGGATGTCTGTGTGCTCTGCCAGAACTAGTGATAAGAAAAGCAGAGCCGCAGCAGTGGTATCGTGACCCTGAAAATGAAGCTGATTCAATGAACTAGAATTGTTAAGCCTTGACAGTGACAGTGACAGTTACGCTCACATATTTCAACATCATAGCGTAATCAAACCCATAAAATAATAATTAGAATGATCAAAATGAAAAAATCATAATTGCTGCCATAGAATACGGAGATGAGAAACTTTTGTCTGAACATTGCAGGAGAACACTGAAAAAAGGGAGTTGGATTTTATTTTGATACTGACTTCGAAAACAAAAGTGGCCACTTCTTCTTGTATCCCGTGGTCATCAATCCCTTGACCGTTGCGCGACGCTGCAATCAACAAGTCGAGAAAGGCGAGTCGTCTGCGACTCTCTGTCAAATGAAATTGACAGTTAATTAATGAAGATGGGAGACAAATCACTCCAGCAATATTTCCGAAACTGGAATCTCTATTTCCATTTCAGAGTGAATTAGAAATTCGTTTGGTTTACGTACTCCTCAGCTCTGCAGGTACACTTTTGTTTTCCGTATCTTCTGCTGAAAATTCATTTAGATATTTTCCGCCGGTCGAGTCATGATACTGCTTTCGTTCCTCGATTATCGTCATTGTGAAATCTTGCAGATTCTTGATGATTTTCGCCTGTTGCTTGCCTCTAGTTGTCATCGAATAAATGAAATCACTTTTGAGCCAAGGCTTCGTTGCTCTGAAAAGAAATGACGCCGTAAGCGGTGATGACTATTTACAAAAATTCCGAAGATTGTATGAACAACAAAGATTCATCCATTGTGTCTACGTACCTCCAATAGAACAGATTTCCAATGTCATGAATCGCCTTTCTGTACTCGTTCTGAATTTTGTTTTTCTCATCAAAAGTAGTTCCCATAGCTGTCTCTGAAGCCCCGAAAAAACCATTAAAAATTTCGCCCAGATGTACGCCCAAATAATACCAATTATAAGCCAAAATTTCAGATTTTTATCTATCACTTTAGTCGTTTTTTGTTAAAATTTATAAAAAAATTCCCAGAATTTTGCACGCACATACGGACGTACTCACAGACATTCTCTAAAATATCATAGCATTTCGAATTTGAATTGAAAATGATAATGTATACCTGATACTCATTTCCTTGGTAATTGAAAAAACGAAAAAACCCATTCGTTCTTCGAGAGGTTGGTAAATTTTCTGTCTTCAAAATTTCGTATCTCAAAATCGCAATTGTGTTTTTTTCACTGAATTCGTGTGTGAACGTGGATAATCCAAATACCAATGATTCTTATGGAGTGAATATACTTTGGAAGAACCTAATGGACTTCAACATAATCTTTACCACAATCATATTAAGGATGATCGGGCGAGCTGGGAGAATTGGAAAAAAAGCAGCCATTTTTTTATTTTTTTCTTACGTATTCTTTAGATGATGGAAAAGGCGTATGCAAAGTTTCAGACTCCTGGGGAGCATGGTTAATTTATTATGAATTTTTTGAAACGCGGTCATTTAACCCATGATCTTATGGAAATCACCAAAAAAACTGCAAAACTCACGGAAAAAATACAGTCAAAGTCATGAAACTTTAGACACATTTAGAACATGTGATCAATAATTTTTTGAGTGCAAAAGATTGTCGCCTAGGAGCATTGTTTATTAATAATTGCGAAAAAAGTACTGAAAAATGAAATTTCTGCGCACGCAGCCCAAACGAGCAGCAGCGGCCCAAGTACCGACCAGGGGGAGGGGTAGCGCGGTCAATTTAAACGTCTCTTGAGAGAGAGCGATGAAGCGTTGTGATTGGAGCTCCCTCGAGCCAGTGGTACCAGCTCCTGGTGAAAAAAAAACTACCGACGATGTTGCCACTTTTTCGCATGGATGAATATTTTTTCATTTATTAAAAAAAAACAATCTGAAAACCATTCAATGCGTGAAACAAATACAAATAAATTTGATTAGCTCCAAAAATAATTTTTAACTGGAGACACTCCCTAATATTGCCTGAATATTGAATCCGAATGGGAAAAATTTTTGTGTTCAGCGATTGGTTTTCTGCAGGAAAACAATAGAAACCCCTCCGCTTCACCTCCTACATTTCCTCCTCGCCCAATTATCCTTAAGTTTTAATATTAGTGAAAATCCATCGAAAACATCTATCTGAATGAGTCTGAATATCATAGTACTATATCTCGGTTCTACCAATTCCTGAGGCACGTAAGGTAGAGAATATGCGCGCGGCCTAATTTAGTATCATCAAGTAGAGAATATCACCAAGATAATCTAATTATTATTGACAAATTATCTCTCCAACACGAGAAAATCTTTCCCCATCCCAAATTACAAGTCAATGGCCTGATCCCTCAATAAAATACTTACCACAAATTGTTCCAAGTGTGAACTTTGAAAATATGGGCAGAAGTTCCTTGACAACATCGCCAGATTGCGCCTCAGCTAATAAATTTTCCACAAGTCTATCCGTATGTTCAACGAATGTGTCAACAAATTCTTCCAGGACATTGAAGTGGAATGCGGGAGTGAGAATTTTCCTACGTCCTCGCCACTTATCACCTGGATTCATTCAATACACAATCACTTTTTTTCCGATAGTATAAAGCAGTTTCAATAATTGCTGCATAAAAAAAACATTCAATTTATGTTTATTTTATGTGCAATTTATGTTTTGTATCTTGATTCAATCCGGGGTTTCTACTTCATGAAAGTACAATTGAATGAAGTCGAGAATCTATTCATTTCAAGTGGATTTCATTGACTTGGATTGAGTATATCCAACAAAATTTAAGTCTAGTTGGCGATTTAATTAAAGGCAACCTCTTCCTGACTGAAGCTGGCACTGCACTTGATTCACGTTGATGCTTTACTCCCAAAAAAATAGTTCCTTATTTTAAGGTATTTATTGCGTGGCCAGGGGATCAGTGCTACCAACGTGTACCTCGAACGGCACGACGTTGTCACTTTTTCTATCCATATTAATTATTTTCCAATAATCCAAAAGACAAGCTTGAAGAATAAAAGAAAGCTTGAAATATGTGGGGAAAAAATAGATAAGTTATTAAAAAAATATTTCGAACACAAAAATGGTCGAAATAGATCGAAAATTTGTAATTGAAATATCGTTTTTTTTGTACAGCGATTGGTTTTCTGCAAGAAAACAATAGACTTCCGCCCGTCGCCCCTCCAACATAACTACCCCGCCATAAATACCTTAAGGGGGGTTCTGAAAGTTTCAACGTGAGATTTTTGAAAGTCTCAAATGGAAAATATTAAAAGTCTCAAATCAAGACTTTCAAAAGCCTCAACTTGAAGGACTTCAAAAGTCTGAATTTGAGATCATTGTTCTTGTCGTCAATTTTCATAAAACAGTGGTTTTTATACTCAAACTAAATCAGAAATCGGAATTGATTGGATCACATTTTTTTTACTTGAATCAAGTAGGAAAAATACCAGTTTCACTTCGCCATCTACCTCAATCAAGAAATAATGTTATTGAATTATTAATGAAGTAGAAGTCGAAGTCGTTTTTGCAACTACGTCGTAAGTAGTTTTTTTCGGAGGAAACACATACCTGTACTGGTGAGGAGGCCATCGTTTAGCCACGAATGGAGGAGGTCGTAGAAAAGACTTTTCTCGATGTGTTTGTTGCTTGGTAGAAGTATCTTGAAAAAGCAATAAAAAAGTCCGCATTTACTTTTTGATAACTTCAGGAAACAAGTGGACTGTTAAAAATCTTGCGGGATTTTGATGATAGGAAGATCGGGAGGGAAAGTGAAGTGGGATGGATTGTCGGAGAATAAATTGAGTTTCGTTGATTGTTACTGTATTTAAAAACTTTGTGCACTGAAATATACACTCGATGGATTTCTAATAAATAGTTGATTTACCGATTTACCGATTTTGAAAAAAGACTACATACATACACCATCTAAAAATCGCATATTCGAGCTTTGCAGACCGTCTTTAGTCACCCTAACGCAAAAAATTGAGCAATGATTTAAAATTTGAGTTTGAGCGATGACAAAGCTTCCATTCGGAAGCAATATGAACCAAAATAACGAAACAAATACAAATTATGAAACAAAAATGTGTGAATTTATTCACCTCAAGATCATCAGGATGTCGAATATTGATGACCGGCCAGTTAAGAATCCAGAATTTATAAACAGGATAGTAGTCCCTCGCTGAATTTCTCAAAAAGTGCCACAGTTGTTCTGAAGAAAAGACGCAAATCGAAAGATTCAATGCGCACTTATTTTATCAAGACGCCACTGCCTTAATCTTCATAATTAATGACTCATCTCGATAAGGCGTGAATTTCGCAGAAATTATCGAGAACAGTTTTTTGTAGGAAATTTTCACCCGCCCTTTGACAATTTTATTTAAAAAATCAATACCATCTTTCAGTGATGAACGACTTGAAAAAACTTTCATAACTTTTTTATTTTTATAGAATGCCAAGCCCAGATTTTCAAGCACTATTCAAAGCAGACTCAAACCTGAATATCACTGGAAATACTAGGGGCGCAGCACAAGCAGAATCGAATCCTAGATTTCAGCGAAGGGTTAAATTTATTTTGAAAATTTTTAGCTGGACACCTCAAGGCCGTGGTTTATGGGGAGGAAACTACCGAGAGACCTGGTAGTCTGGGGGAACAGGGCTCGTGCAAATTACTATCATTCAAATAAATCCTTGTACAGAATAGGAATAACGGAACACGTCTAAAAAACTTCGTCAAAAAAACATCGTTAAAAAAACCTTTTGTCAAATTGAACTTCCGTCAATAAACGCGTATGAAAAAATCTATAGGATTTCCTATAGGAAATCCTATGGAGACTTCGAACATTTCCTATAGGATTTTTCTGGTGGGATTTCCTATAGGATTCCCTATAGAATTCACTATAGGGTTTTCTATAGAAAGTAACACACAAAATTGAGACTCGAAACCAATCGGTCACAAGGGTCAGGATCAGGGTCATAAATCTGATAGGAAATTCTATAGGGAACCCTATAGGAAATCCTATAGGAAATCCCGTGGGAAATCCTATCAGAAAAATCCTAGAGGAAATGTCCGAATTCTCCATAGGATTTCCTATAGGAAATCCTATAGCATTTTTTCATACGTGAAACCTTTCGGTTATCTTGTCTCTTGTAAGACTATAGGTAAAATCAGTGTTCGTGTTTGAAATTTCAGAGTGTTGTTTCCTTGTGCATATGAATTTCTATCAAATCATTTGTAATCAAGACTTGATGCTGTTTATTCTGGAAGCTTCCGCCTGAAAGCTTCGTAATCGTTCAAATTTACGTTTCGGAATTTTTGTCAGGGTAATCTAATAGGCCCAAATAGTCTGAATATGCCATTTTTAGAAAGTGTCTGTATGCACATACGTATGGATAGGTGTGAATGGACTTTTTCATTTTTTTTTTCGAAATTTTCTTTATGCCTTAAAAGTTTAGAATTTTTTTTCTTCAATTTTTTTTTGTTACCAACTTGTTTTGAACAAGTTTTATTAACCAAGTTTTTTAGACATGGACCCGAATTTTTCAAAGAATCATGACAAAATTTTTGGTAGGTTATTGGAATTCCTCTGATTCCTGGCAGAGACAGACTCTAAAAGTTTGAAAACTATTCATGATTTCATTAAAAGTAATAAAATAAAAATTTAAAAATATGTTCATAGCAACTAAATACAAGTTAACATAAAAACCAAAGTTCATATGTAAATAATACTCGAATGAATTTGTGTAAATAATCCAACGATGGATTAATACTTAAATAAAAAAAACCTCAATAAAAAAAACTTTTTCATTAAAACAATAATTACCGTAGGGCACGTTAACATCCAACGCATTTCCAAGCATCGGAAAAGCTTTGGGCCCGGGAATCTTATCCACCAATATTCCTCTCCTGTTATGATGAAGGTAGTAATCAAAGATGAACAGAACAATAATCGGAAATGATAAGATCAATGTTGTTAAAGTGAAAAATTCCATTTTCGCCTCAAATTTGGAACAACGAAGATTACAGAGCAGTCAGCGGCACCAGATGAATGCTCCACAACTGATACGAATAATCTGCAGTCCTTGCCATTCGCCTTGCTGCACGCAATACTTCAAGTTTTTCTGGTGGTTATGTAAATGCGCAATTTCAACAATTCCGTCAGCCTCCTTCTCTGACACTCTTCCACTTCTGCAAAATGACTGCACTGTTTTCCGATGAGATAGAATTAAAACCGTGACTTTATATTACTCGTCATTAATTGTACGTTACGCATACGCAAGAACAATAACGATTGAAATAGGAAAAAAAATTATTTAATTTTATGGAATATCATGTTATTCCGATGACAGACATTTTGAGACTTGGAATCATCCTGGTAGACTTTTTCCTATGATTAGGAAAAGGGCGTCATGCGCGCGCAGGAGATGTAGGAGTCAAGTCTCAAATTAATTCCCCCGCTATTTCTAATCATCTAGATATAACGGATAATGGTGTATAGATACCATTTGTTATCATATTTTCCACACTCAGAAAAATGAATAAATCCCGAAAAACGAAAATTCCACATTATTATTCTATTTTTTACTTGCACTTTCGTAATGATCTTCTAGCGTGAATTGGCGAAATATGAAGGAGATAACGAACTGACGTCGTGCACGAGAGGTAGATAATCTTTTCAGACTTGGACGCCCTCATCATGTCGGGAACACTATGAATTAGATAAGGATTGTTTTGCCAACCGAAACTGGTGTGCTCTCTTCGTGACGGAGGCAGAACGATTAGCGTTCACCGAAAGGTCGCACCGTTTTATTTACCACAAATATCATGGAATTGAAGAAACATAGTGATTTTATTATCAAGACTTGTTTTGTAGATAAAATGGCAAACTACAAAAAATATCTTATCAGAAATCACAGTATTCATTTTTCATTTCAAAATATTTACGAAAAATTATCGATTTTTTGTCGTTACCAGCGTTTTTTCCCTAGCGGCAGAGAGCGGCGAGGGGGGTAGAGTGGGTTTATCAAGCTCTCTTGGTCGCCCAGGCATCGAGTGTTGAGATCGCATCATATCTCTCTATATAATAAAAAAATGAGTCAAAAAATTCAGGCGACGCTTGAAATTCAGAAGTCGCTGAAAATTCAGGCGAGATTTCAGATTTAGGCGACGCTAGGGTGGTAATGTTGGCTCAGAGTCGGGCCAATGTCGGCCCACGGTCGGGCCAATGCCGGCCCAAGATCGAGCCAACGTTGGTCCAGGATTGAACCAACATCGGCTCGGGGTCGGGCCATATATCGGGACCCCCTCATATATGGGGACCCCCCTCATAAATGCCCCCCTCCCCTCATATATGCCACCCCCCTCATATATGGCGATCCCCACCATACTTTCAGAACTACTATTTCCGTTGCCTGTTAACAGGTTCGCCTGATTAGTTTGGTTTTCTGTTTTTTCGTTTTTTCAATAACATCAACATTTTTGTACTGTTATCTTCTATCGTCCGTTTTGATTCACGTTTTATTAACAAATGTGCATCTCCATATGCATACATTAAAAATTTTCTATGCACATCTGATTTTACGGTCAAATTTGACTAATGAAGCTGTTGAAGAAACCTCCACGATTATAGCCGCATGGTCACATGGGAGGGAGAAGAGCGAGCGAAGCGAGCGGAGGGTCGAACCCCCCGGGTTGGCGAGCGAAGCGAGCAGGCGGCGGAGCCCTCTAGTGGCCGAATAATGATAATCTTGCGATCGCCACGACAACTTTGACAGCTAGTATTGCCCCCAAGCTGGCAGCCAACATTGTCCCAACGTTAAAATTTTTTACTTTCCCCTGAATATTGGTTTCAAAATTTTTTTTTCCAACAACAGATGATGCAATCAATCTCATAATCGAACTCGGTCAAGATGGCATTGAGAAGAATATTTTAAATCGCGATTGGAATTTAAATATCTAAAAATTGCATATTGGATCTCCTGAGGCCAAAATTGAAAATTTCGGATTTGACAAATACAAATCCACGATTTCTAAACGTGAAATCATCTATTGAATATTGACATTGCCCGACGGCCTAGCGTAGTGGGTAAGGTCGTTGCCTCACGTGCGCAAGGTTCCGAGTTCAAATCCCGATCGGGTAGAATGGTGAGATCGAACCATTTTTAAAGTCTTGATCATCATTGCAATATACTCAATCGAGTCGAAGCGATGTAAAATACCAATAAAAAAAAGAATATGGACTTCAATTTCATTCCGATGAATTTGCCATCCGCGCAGTGAACGCTTGAGCGAAACTATTGATGTTGAAGTCTCCGGAATTCACTGCGACATTTCGAGGGCACCCAAGGTCACGGATGAATCGATTTCAATCGTAAAAAGTTTGCAATGCAATCGAGAGTGAAGTACACTGACAAGCGTCATGATAGCATTGTATGGGCAGTGATAACAGAAGTATGCACTCAAGTACATTGATTGGAGAGAACAGATGAATGGAAGGGCCGAGTCGAAGGCAAATGTGCAATCGAAATGTAATGAATAAAATTCAAGGTCGACAGCTCATTTCGACTGGATACCTACATCAAAATTGTCTCATCTTGGATAAATTATCGTACTAAAATCATGCATTGATGCAGATACACTCATTCCAGAATGATGTTGAGCTTCCCCAGCTGATGAAATCGTAGAAAACATTTTCAAAAAATGAATTAAGAAATATACATTTTCATATTGATCATCGTGATAGAAACCAATTTTAACCCCCAGTTAATTAGCTCTATTGATCAGGAAGGCTTTCTCAATAAACCCAAACTGTTCTTTATAATTTTAACGATTTACTATAATGCTTAATTAACTAAAAATACAACTCAATGAACCCGTTACTTATTTTGCGTCTCTAGAAAAATACAAACACTCTCTTCTCGACTCAGCTCCTGCCATCTACATCTCCTCTCTCTCTTATCTCTCTCTCTCTCTCTCTCTCTCTCTCATTCACACATTCTCACGCATACGTTCATGTTTCTATCAATCGGATGATTATAGTTTATACATCAGCATTGCAGGATTTGCTACAGAACAGGAATCGCCATATTCATAAATCATAATTACCGTTAAATTTTGAAGCCGTCAATTAGTTAACATCACTCTTAAACTTTTAATTATTGTATTAATCAGTAATTTAAGTATAAGAAGATTGCCGATTATTTGGTTAAACAATTAGCCTCGCCTTCGGCTCGGGCGGCAAACTCATAATCACCAGAAAAGTTGTTTTCGGCCTAATGACTATATACTATTTCTAGCTCATATGATAGCAACTCATATGATCGGGGAGGGTGTGCCTGTACCGCCCACCTAAAGGAAAATGCCAGTTTTATATTTTATATTTCAACTTGAGTATCAAAAACGTATTTGTGAGACTTCTTTAACTATTGAACTCGTTATTCTCGAAGTGTAGATGCCTAATTCTCCTTAGAATCCACAAAATTGATTAAAAATAAAAGAGAGAGCCTATTGAGCGGTACTACCCGCCCTCGGGTAATACCGCTCGGCACGATTCCAATGCCGCTCATAGGGTTTTGCGTGTATCGCTCGCGCCGCAACCTAACCTGTACTCGAGTGCTGTCGAGCAACTACGTGGCCGATCCTATGAGCGGTATTACCGGCTTCGCTCGGCGTCAACAAAATTGTTGATAATTATTGACATGAATGGAGTTTTGAGTTCGAATTGGTCTCAAATTACGCACGAAAGTACTACGAATCGAATAACCACAGTTTAATATGAGAATTCAGCGTTTGAAACTATCAAAAACCTTAATTAAAAGTCCACAAATTTTGCACTGTAAAGACCTCAAAACTTCGTTACGTGTTTTTTCATATTTAAAGTGGTAAATAAAGTGAAATTTTTCCGACAATCACATCCTATCATCAAATTCTTCCTGATCAGGAAGAGAAAGAAATTTTCAAGTTGATGATTGTGGAGAAAATCGAGTGAGCGGTATTACCCGCTGAGCAGTACAGGCACTCCCTCCCCTAGGTCATATGATTGCAACCACCCCCGAATATATAAAAGGATCACATTTCAGTGGTGAAGTGATCAATCGATTTAAGTCGACTTAGCTCCCAGTTGATTTTTTATAGGGGAAATGAGGCGGGGGAGGATGAACCAAGCAAGGCAGTAGGGAAGGGGTAGGCGACGGTAGGGCCATCTTACAGATTTTCGGCGAAATACTTCGTGTGGACAGGCTGGAGAACAATGCTTGAGATTACCTTCCTCTGTCATACCTTAATTCTATCCTCCAGGAAGTGGCTCCGCCCGAACAGCGGAACTACTTGCGATCTTGGTCGGTAAAACAGAATTGTAACTCTCAAAAATTTGACGAATACAGATTCCATTGATATTTAATTCATCCAGCCCGTTCAAATCGAATGATCTTACCATCACAATCACGTTTTATTGATTTTCTATTAAAAATTCTATTATCAGTAAAAATCCATCACTAGAACTGCCGTCACTGAGTGGTGAGTATTCAACCACATCGACAGATAGCGCCATCCGTCCACATGAATTCTACGATCTACATCGCAAACCTCCACTCATGCTAACTGAAACAAGATAAATATCGTAATAAAACTGCCACAGACCGCTAGAGCCTTGAAGGGCATGTGCCACTCCATTAATTCATCGCTCAACTCCCAATCACTTGTTGAAAAACCTATCGAAATATCGAAGTATATTCTCACGGACTGCGAGAACGTGTTCGGCCGAAATATCCGCTCTGTTTCATCCCAGTAACCTACTTTTACAACTCAGAAATGTCGTTCAGTTCTTACTTTCTCGAGGACGCCCTGAATTCTTCGGGGATTCCAGGCTCAATAAATTTACTACTCAATCTTCTTTCAGACGATTATGAAGAAATTGACTCCTATGAAATCGAAGTATTCGCATTTATTTTTACACACAAAAAATTTCTTTTTTTTCTAGAAAATTGAAAAAAATAAAAATTAATAAATGAAGAAGATGCGAATGTAAATAAACCTATCTAATAGTCAGGCAAATTTGAGGCGGAAAACTGAATATGACGACCTAATTTACTCCAATAATTTTCGAGATATAGAAGGAAACATTTTAGATTAAATTTTTGCCAAAATTGGATGCCAGAGGCCGCCAGCCTCTGTTTGGATCGGAAATTTTCCGTTCGTCCACGCGTCAAAAGAAAAATTCAACTTTCATTCCGAATTAATTAACGTTTGTATCGGACAATCCGCTCGGGTAAAAAGTGTCATAATATCAACTTTTCCGCCTAAAATTTCGCCACCTTTCAATCGAAAATATTCTCCCTCCTCGATCCTCGAAT